CAGGAGGACTGCAGTACACAGGAGGACTGCAGTACACAGGAGTACTGCAGTACTCAGGAGGACTGCAGTACACAGGAGGACTGCAGTACACAGGAGGACTGCAGTACACAGGAGGACTGCAGTACACAGGAGTACTGCAGTACTCAGGAGGACTGCAGTACACAGGAGGACTGCACTTTGAGTACCGGGTCATTCTTCAGGTCCAGGTTGGGCAGCAGAGGCATGTTGAGGACCGTCTTCCTCCTGATGCCGCTGTAACAGTACGTTTCGGCGGGTTAAGGAAGCTAAATGTTACTCCTGGCATTCCTGACCTGAGACTGGGTTCAGGTTTTCTTTTATTCTGAAAGGATATTTGGACTGTCCTCGGCCGCCGAGCCGTCGCGCTTTGATGTTGGGAAAAATGTCTCTGATGATCTTCCCAAAGTTGGCGGCGCTCAGAGGACGCTGCTGCAGGTTCTCACAGTACCTCCTGCAGGACAGACGCACAGTCAGGAAAGCATCGGAGCGCCATGGCAACCAGATCTATGTCAAACCACCCTTGTTACAGGGTCACTGTGTGTGTGTGTGATTTCTGACTTGTAGGTCTCGTAGACGTCCTGTTTGGGCAGGCAGGTGTCTGAATGCTCCTCCAGGTGACTGCGGATCCAGTTACAGGTGTGGAGCTGGTCGGCCGTGTTAAATGAACTTGAATCGCTGCCGCTGAGAACACAAGATTTACAGAGGTTCACCCTTTCTGACAGGAAAACAGCGAATCACAAACTATCAGGATAAAAACAAAGGAGCCAAACGGAGAAGCAACGTCACCTTTTGTCTCCAGAACTCGGTCCAGAGGGCAGCTGCAGGTACAGGTACAGCTTGTCATTGTCAGAGAAACGCTGAACATCTTGCTGTTGAAAAAAGCCCACAGTGAATGAATCAGACCTGAGGTGAGCACCAAACCAGACTTTAACCTCACATCACGTTTCTTACCAGGATCTGCTCTACTTTGGTCTGAACGTGTTTCCTGTAAGAGGACAGAGGACACGCTGATCAGATCCATCACCAACACCACACAGGGACGTCAGAGCGTCAGAAATTCTGCTGCTGTTATTGTGTGTATATATATTTATATTTCTCATACATTCTTATATATGTTTATATATGTCTATACTGTGTATTTTGTTGTACAGTTATCTTATTTTCAACTTTAATTTATATATTTTATCTTATTCTTTCCCAGTTAAATTACCCTTCATTCTAATTTGTGTTGTACA